CATCTTTTCAGTTTTGGGGGAAGCAAAGAGCTTATTCCAAAAAGCAATATAATTTATTGAAACAAACACAAAATATTGATTGCTTCTATTCTCTGAGCTTCTGAGTCAATCTCTACCACAGTAGTGTCCAATTTATAATTTATATCCCTAACATTTGCTTGTAAATTGGCTTTTTGGAATGCTGAATGCAATTTCTCTGGAAAACAAAGTTATAAATCATATTAAGTCCCTTTGCTAGCCCACAGCAGCCTATTTAACCCATGCATAATACAGTACTTTTCCTAGTAGGGAATATATTTCACATGGCATTTCAAAAGGACAAATAAATTTTAGTATAATCTCACCTAATCTTCTATATTTCTCCCACACATTCTGGTAGCCCTTCTGAATTCTTGACTACATACTTTCTTTGGTAAGTAGGGTCAAATGGGATTTTTTTTTTTAATTGGTGGTTGATAAATACATCTAACTGGCAATTGTTGCAATAGCCTAGAAAAGTGAAGGAAAAAGATGTATGCAGACTAAGGGAAGAAGCATATATACATGCAAGCAAGCACAGCTCACCTGTAGGATGAGTTCCTAGAAACTGTATATATACATACAACAGACAAAATGAACTTAGTAATTACTTTGACTCACCAGCATTTTCCAAAATGACTTTATTAAGTCTATTAACTGCTACCAGCTATCATTTTTTGAAAATTTAAAAAAAAGATTATTTTTCAAATGAATTTAGAAAACAGTGGATTAAGTCAAGTAAATCAGGTTTCATGGGTTGAGTAGCTCAGTGTTGCCTAATCTTGCTTGACTTTGGTGGTGCACCTCACAGGGACTGGTATTCTGTGAACTATATTTTGGGCAACAATACTTTCATCTTATCTGCAAAGACTTTCTGTTATGATATGGATATGTTTTGAGTGTGTTCCCCAAATGCTCACGTGCTAGAAGCCTGGTCCCAGTGTGGTGATGTTGAGAGGTGGTGGAACCTTCATGAGGAAGGGCCTACCTTAAGGTGATTAGGTCATTGAGAACATCATTCTCAGAAGGAGTTAATACAGTTCTCACAGGACTCTAGTCAGTTCCCACAAGAGTGGAATGTTACAAAAAAAAGAATCTGGCCCCCCAATTTCAAATCTCTTGCTTCTTCTCTCACCATGTAATTTCTCTTACAAATGCTCCCTCCAAGATGTTACCCACTGTGTTGCGATGGAGCCAGAGCCTTCACCAGAGGCAGAACTGATAGGCCACACCATCTTGGACTTTTAGCCTCTAAAGCTGTGAGCTAAGTAAGCTTCTTTTCTTTATAAAGTATGCAGCCATCAGCTATTCTATTACAGCAACAGAAAACTAACCAAGACAATCTCTTCTACTTCGTGAAGTTTTCTCTTGGATTTTATCAGTAATTAAGAGTTCTCTGTTCTTCAGGAAGTTTCCTTTGTGGAGGAGAGGTGGCCAATAAAAATATTTCTGTTACTCAGATTATTATTAATTGCTTAAATTTAAATCATTTAAATTAAAATGCTTACATTTGGCCGGCGCCGCGGCTCACTAGGCTAATCCTCCGCCTAGCGGCGCCGGCACACCGGGTTCTAGTCCCGGTCGGGGCGCCGGATTCTGTCCCGGTTGCCCCTCTTCCAGGCCAGCCCTCTGCTGTGGCCAGGGAGTGCAGTGGAGGATGGCCCAGGTGCTTGGGCCCTGCACCCCATGGGAGACCAGGAAAAGCACCCGGCTCCTGGCTCCTGCCATCGGATCAGCGCGGTGCGCCGGCTGCAGCGCGCCGACCACGGCGGCCATTGGAGGGTGAACCAACGGCAAAGGAAGACCTTTCTCTCTGTCTCTCTCTCTCACTGTCCACTCTGCCTGTCAAAAAAATAAATAAATAAATAAATAAATAAAATGCTTACATTTAAAGTAGGAAAGTGACATGCAGAATTAATTTTAGCATGTTTTACATAACCCAATATACTTGATATTATTTTGCAATATACAGACAATCTAAAATTATTAAGTTCTGAGATACTTAACACTTTTCTTGCATCAAATCTTGAAACCAGTGTGTACTTTACACTTCCAATACATCTCAACTTGGACCAACCATATTCCAAGTGCTCAACAGTCACCCGAGGCTAATGGATACTATATTGGACAGAACAATGTCAGAGTATTTTATTGTCTATCACGTCTTCATCTTTTATTTTGAACAAGTTCAGCCACCAATCATTTGAAATTAGAATCATTGGATTTTAGAAATGAATTTTTTAAAAAAATAATTAAATGCAATTCTTTCACTTCTAAAGCAAAATAATGAAATGATGATGGAATTCAAACATGGAGCTTTTAACAGCCAAGCTGCAGCCTCCTGGCCCCTATATACTGTACAGTAGTAAAATGTCAAAATTCAATTTTGAATTTATAAATAGAATTATTGGCTTTATCTTTTTTTAAAAAATGACTACAGAATTACCCTTAAAAATTGCCTGCCTCCAGGAAATTTAACAAGTGATTTTTCTTTCCACAAAAATTCTAGTTGCAGACATATTTTCAGACCACACCCACTGTACAAAGTGGTACCACCTGCTCATTTTGGGTGCCAAGATAAAAACAGATCATATTTTGTAGATTAAAGAGCAACTCTTGTCCACTGCTACAATTTCTTTATGAAGTCATCAGTACAAACATATAATAAACTCAAATGCCACAGCAAAATTAGTCACATACTAGCCTTTCTCTGTTTCTCTCCTGGGAAGGGACAATCCGGCTTCAATTTATATGCTCAGCTTTCAGTCCTAAGGCAAATGATATCACTTAAAGTTGAATGTTATAATTCTTTGCTATGTTTTCAGACAATTCATTCTACAGGAACTTAGGAAAACAGAAACATGAAAAAATTAAAGTGCTTAACAGGTAAATTAAGATTTATTTTGCTATACAACCATTATCACCGAAATCTTTTTCTACAGAAGATTGAGGAATTTTATATCCATTTTGACTTTTTGTAAAAAAAATGGGTCTCCAGTTTGCTAGCTTTGCTTCACTCCTCTAATTTGCTTCACTCTTCTAATTTGCTTCACTCCTCTAATACACCCAAGTCAGTCAGTGAATAAAAAGAAAGCTTTTAGGAATAAAAGTATTACAATCAAATACATGAGAACAAGGCAATGAAAAGTATTATTCATCCACATTCTGATGAACAATGACAAAAAAAACTACAAATGAGATATATTGCTTTGGTAATCTTCACAAGCAAAATAAATTAAGAGTGAATCAACATCCTATCTCTAGCTACCACCTTGGTTATACACAATACATTAAAATCATAGCTCAGAGTTGGAAAAGAAATGATGGTGCTGATAAAAGATCTGATTGTGACTATAAAACATCATGAGAAATTAAAACAGACCGTTATGTTTCTCACCAGCTGCAACTACTGGGCCCAAGCCCACGGGCTATACTGATGTATCTGAACTGTGCTTAGCCTAAGACTGGGCGCACACTGGACTGCCAACTCTCCAGATGTTTTGTCCATGGTGTAATTCCTGTTCTTGCTAAGGATTCACAAAGGAAAAGTCTGAATCCATAGCTCTTTCCCTTAGGACCACCTTGTTCAAAAACTATTGGGTGCACACTAATATTAAAGCATCAGATTCCACCTCTACCCTGAGCTTGTTAGAGGAATAAAAGAATCCCTGTGCTGTTCTGATACAACGGAATATTCTATTCCCTGTAGTGATGTTTCTCAGAATTTGGCCCACTGAACACTTTCAGTAGAGTCATCTGGGAAGCTTGTTTAAAATTTAAATCCTGGACCTTTTTCAGAACTACTGAACCAGGATGTGTAGGAATGAAGCCAAGAAATCTGCACTGTAACAAGATCCATAGGTGATGAAAACGTATATCAAAGTGAGACTTCTGCTGTGGAGCCAAAGAGACATAATGAGAAACCTGTATCAATTATCTGAGGAACCTGCGAATCACGAAGAGAAGGGAATTTTCTCCAAGTTTTTATGGTTTTGTGCCATCCTACAGAAGGTAAGTCAGACCTTCACGTTAGTGTGTCTTACAGCCGTAAAAGCTGTCACAATCGCACCTGGGTAATATGTATAGCTCCCGGAGATGGGATGAAACCAAGTTTAAAATGGAGTTTCTCACTTTCAACTTTTTAATTGTTTTAAATGATATAAAGAGCTCAGGTCACTATCATTCACCCAAATGCCAGTCTCCCTAATCATTACGTTGAACAGAAATTCCTTTCAAGCGACCTTGATATCAATTTGTCAGATTCCTTACATGGGAAAATATCACTTAAATTGAATAGAAACACATCTAAAATATAAAACAGAAGAGGACAAACACCCAAGGTTACTTCAAAAAGTACATGAAAAATAGAATTAAAAGATGTTTATTTTGAAATAAAAATTTTTCAAGCCTATGCAGTTTTTCATAATATGCATTTCCCTTGAACTTTTTTAAAGACCCCTTGTATGCACAGATCACAAAATTGTTTGTACCAACTTAAACTTATCTTTGAATTCCATTTTCCCTAAACTTTTTGAAATACGATTGTATTAATTCCTGATGTCCCCAAGACAGCACCCCTAGCAACTCCTCCCAGCACCTGTAGACAAGACAACTAAACTGCTAATAAATTCGTGTTCTAGATGGAAAAATTACATCTACATACACAGACATTTTTCTAGAAAAAGTTTATTTATTTTTTCATATCTATTTTCATGACCAAGGAAGCAGTTTGCCCTTGATTATGTTGTTACCAGTGCCCAGAATACTATTTTTGCGTCTGTGCTTTGATAGGCTTGAATTTCTCTATCCAAGAGTCCACTTCCAGAAAGCTAGGAGTTATTTTAAGGAAATACTTAATACCAAAGGGATTAATTGTATTTCTAATTACCAACAGAACAAATAAATAGAAAAGAAAGTCATTTACATATTCAATAGTAAAGGTTTCATTAAAAATTGTAGTATAGGTAAATAAATGTTATATAGTGAAAACTTCAGAGGAGCAGGCATTTGGTATAGTTATTAAGATGCTATTTGGGGTGCCCACACCTGAAATCAGAGTGACTAGATTTAAGTCTCTGCTCTGCCCCTGAATCCAGCTGCCTGTTAATGTCTAATATGCCCCCTGAAAGGTAACAGATGGTAACTCAAGTGCTTGGGTCCCTGCTACCTATACCATCCTGGCTTTTACTTGGCCCAACCCTCACAGTCATTTAGGAAGTGAACATTAGCTGAAAGATTTCTGCCTGTCTCTGTCATACTGTCTTTTAAATAAATAATTTTTAAAAATTATGCATAAAAGAAAAAAGAAAGACAAAAAATAAGATTGTGTGAAAAAAGTTTCAGTGTTTTCCCAGCAACTTACAGAAAACTAAGCTAGATATTGATTGAAGTAGAAACTAAAAATATATAAGCTTAAAGATTCAGGTGAAATATCACTTTCTGAGTCTTCTTCTGCCCTTTATTGTCTGCTTTCTTTATACTCACAGGTGACTCAGTTTATAGTGACTTCTTTAGGACTTGCCGTGTGGTGACTTATGTTTTTATCAGTTTCATGAACCAGATTATCATTCACTCTTGGCCAGAGCCAAGCCTTATTTTGATTTTGGATTTGTAGCTCTGGGTTCATTGTCTTCTACAACCTTGGCATTCATCTGCATTTTGTTGTATTAATTTGAAAGGTTAGGAGCTCTAATTCTCCTGATTTTTATTCACCATGCCTCTTCCCTTCAATATAGACAAACTTCTGAAGATCATCATCACCATCATCATAATCATCACCAAACCAGCACCTGATCCATAAACGTAAGACATCAACCATCAGTCTCTGGATGAAAATTGCTAATGTTTCCAGAAATGGGGAGGAGAATGGGACAATATCAGAACTAGAATTATAACCCAACGACAAAGCCAAAATTTAAAACTCAAGGGTCTAATCCGTGGTCTTTGTTCAAGATGAAAACGTCCCTTGTTACTTAACGTCTCTGCATCTGCTGAGCTGCAGCAAGATGTGGCTTTGATTGCTGCTTCTTGCTGTGATTACATGGAGCCAAACCGCCGGCTTAAAAATGTCTAGTGTGTAAAGCCAGTTATGTGTATCTATAGGACCCAAAATAAACTTGTTGGTAAGACTTTTAACGTCTGAGGTTGGCAAATTGATGTGGTCTCGCTTTGCCTAAATTGTGACTTTAAATATGAACTCAGAAGTTCAGCTGGATGCAGACAACTCATGTTGCAGGGTTCCACATCAGTGAGAATTTTCAAATACGCAGCTTGTTTCAAGTCTCCTTGCCTTTCTTATTCATATTCCCTCTTCCTTTCACTCTCACTTTCTCTTTTGTCTCTCAATGCCTACCCCAATGCATATACCCATTGTATAACACTATTTAGGCTGCAGTCATATGGTCCAAATTAAAAGCCACATAGCTAGGGCCGGCGCTGTGCCATAGTAGGTTAAGCATCTGCCTGTGGCGCTTGGCATCCCATATAGGCACTGGTTCAAGTCCTGGCTGCTCCACTTCTGAGCCAGCTCTCTGCTATAGCCTGGGAAAGCAATGGATGATGGCCCAAGTCCTTGGATCCCTGCACCCACATGGAAGGCCCAGAAGAAGCCCCTGGCTCCTGGCTTCCGATTGGCTCAGCTCCAATGGTTGCTGCCATTTGGGGAGTAAACTAGCAGATGGAAGACCTTTCTCTCTGTTTCTCCCTCTCTCTGTAACCCTGCCTCTCAAGTAAATAAATAAATCTTTAAAAAAAAAAAAGCTGCATAGCAAGTGAACAGTTTCATAACTAAAGCTTAAATATAACAACTTCTCTATTGCGTTCTTAACATCTTGAACTGAATACATTGTTCACAGCAATAATTTTTAAATTCCCTTTCTTCTTTCTCGTCTGCTAAACAACATTTATATAAGTCCATTGCTCTGGACTAACCTTCTGCACCAGGCCCCAGCAGATCTGACCAAACCAGAATGCAGTCACTCATGCCAAGTGTCACATAATCAAACTGAAATTTAAGTCAGTTTTTCCTGGAAACAGAAGATTCACAGCCCAAGCGACCAGAGCCATCATAATAAGGAAGACCTTTGCTTTAACTTTTAGAAGTAACCTGTACTTTCCTGTTGTTAACCAGTTTGCTTTTGCTTTTTTGTTGTTTCCATGTTCCCATCTTATTAAATTCAACCATTCTGTCATGCTCAACTCATTCTTTTTGTTTGTTTGTTTTTTTAAAGATTTATTTATTTATTTGAAAGTCAGAGTCACACAGAGAGAGAAGGAGAGGCAGAGAGAGAGAGAGAGAGGTCTTCCATCTGCTGGTTCACTCCCCAGTTGGCCACAATGGCCAGAGCTGTGCCGATCTGAAGCCAGGAGCTTCCTCTGTGTCTTCCCATGTGGGTGCAGGGGCCCAAGGACTTGGGCCATCTTCTACTGCTTTCCCAGGCTATAGCAGAGAGCTGGCTTGGAAGTGCAGCAGCCAGGTCTCAAACCAGCACCCATACGGCATGCTGGTACTGCAGGTGGCGGTTTTACCCTCTATGCCACAGCACTGGCCCCATGCCCAATTTATTCGTTTTTACAGAATGATGTATTGCTTTATTGTAGAATTATAAGTGAAAGCCAATTAGATCTTTGAACTAATTGACATTTTGTCTGACAGCCTCTAGAGTTATGGGTATAGCAGGATATGCCACCCCAAAACCCTTGCAGCTGTTTAAATGTCACTGTCTTAATATTAATGGTTAATTGATTAAAGGTGAAGACTTGGTCTAATGATGGCAATTGTGAGGTGGGGCCTGTGGGAGGTCTTTGGGCCATTGAAGAGGTGCCCTTGGCAGGTGATTCTGGTGGAAGTGCAAGCTCGGCCAAGCTGTGCTCTCATGCTTCCTGCCTCATGATGTGAGCCTGCTTCCACACCTGCTATTAACCAGCCTTCACAAGACCCCAGAGTGAGGGGCCATCAGAGTCTGTAAGCTCAAACTGTGAGCTAAAGAAACCTCTTCTTTCCCAGAGAAACCCCTCTCAGGAATGCTAGTGAAAGTCATAAAAAGGAGCCTAAGTCACCTGGTATAACTGCTTTGGGCTCAAAACCTCCAAAGAACATTCCCTACCCTTTCTTTTCCCATTCATCCATTTCTCCAGATTGTACGTTACGAAAGCCCAAAGAACAAATCTATAAGTGACAACTTTCAGTGAACCACAGAGAGGAAGAAACTGATAGAGAAATGCTAAGACAGTCTTTGGTGGGGAGGACATCATTTTACCTGGAAATGGCTGAAGTGTTGTAATTTGCTCAACATGCTTGCTTCCTGTAAGTGCCTTTGGGTCTTCACATAGGAAAGGAAAAACTCATTTTCCATTAATGTTTTGAATCTAAATTATTCCCCTTTTGCATTTTTTTCTCAGCCACTTGGAAAACTGGACAACAAAATACAATAACAAAGGACAGCAAAGGTTAAGTACTTCATGTGTGCTAGACTTTGTGATACATGTATTTCATACATTATTTTATGTAGTCCCCAGTTCAAGCCTATAACTTTGGTATTACCACATTCAACAAGTGAGGAAATAAAGATTAATGTACAATAAACTTTTCTAATATCACTCAGCTAGAAAATAATAGACCAAATAGATAAAATTGTGATAACTTTGACTTTAAGACTCAAATTTGAAATATGGTTTTATAATACTTGAATATAATAGATTAAAGTATAGTATGTGTTGGTTAACCCCTTTGTTTCCCAAGCACTGAATATCAGGACTGGTTTCTATGTATTGATTGGAGAAGAATAAGGTACCAAGGGAAATGCAATGTGGGCACACAATTTAGAACATCAGTTTATATTAGAACCAGCTCAATAAATTATGCCTTTCAGGAGTCTGAGAAAACACCATTGAGCTAAATATCAAGTTTATTATCTATTAGACATAAGTCATTTCCAAATTTAATTTTTTTGTTTCTAGAACATTTGAGGAATGAAATAACCTGATTATTTGAATGATTTGGTAGTCATTGTGGTACATTTTCAAAGTAAGGGCAGAGACATGAACTTGGAAGATGAGAGTTACTACTCAGGCAAAAGGGAATCAGTGAGGCAAGGGTCAAATGTAAGTACAAGAGAACAAATGAAAGGAAAGGTAAGAAATTTACCACATGTAAGGAGAATTGATAAGATTTTTGTTTATGGCTTTGATAATCCGTCTTTGTTTCTTATATTCCCATAGAATAAAGAGACTATTCATTATAGCTTTATTACTTTCACATAGGAAATAATGTGTTTATTTTTCATGATAAATCTCTGAAAGTAAGAGCAGCAAAAAAATGATATCTCTATCTTACTGTTAAAAAAGAAAAACTTGTCCAAGAATATTGTGGCAGGCATAATAAAGGCCTCCAGAATTAGGAACCTGTGACTATGTTACCTCATTAGCAAAGACTTGGCAGATGTAATTAACTGAGGACCTGAAGATGGGGAAATTATCCTAGATTGACAAGTTGGGTTCAATCTAATTACACAGATCCTTGAAGGCAGAGAAACCTTCAGGAATGGAGTCTGAGAGAGGAATGAAACAGTGACCAAAGTAGGGTTAGAGAGATGAAGACTCACCCTGCCATTGTTGGCTGGGAGGACAGAAAGGGATTTGGAGCCATAGAAAGGGAAGTGGCCTCTAGAAAGGGGAAGAACAAGGAAATGGGTTGGCTTCAAGAGCCTTCCAGAGCCTCCAAAGAGTCACACAGCCCTGTCCACACTTTAACATTAGTGCAGTGAGACCTGTCCCAAATGTCTGATCTCCAGAACTATAACAGGACATGACAAATTGGGTTGTTGTAAGTCACTACGTTTATGGAAATTTGTTACAGCGGGAACATAAAATCAGTACAGAAGCACAGTTTATAAGCATTAGTGGGGGCTGGTGTTGTGATACATTGCATTAAGCTGCCACCTTCAATAACGGCATCCCACATCACAGCATCGATTCCAGGGCTTTTTTTTTTTTTTTTAATTTTGATCCATTTGTCATGATTGCCATTTATGGGTACATCCTCTCAGTCCTCTGCCCTAAATCCCATCCATGCAAGCACTTAACAAACTTTAGTTTCCTTGTGCTGAAACGTTTGGTATCGGAATGTGAGGCATCTCTGAGGAAACCGAGTGGTCATGTGTAGGATGAAATGTTTAAGAACTCATGAAATTTGTCGCAAAATGCCACTAGATATAATCCTTCATTATACTTAGAGAAGTTAAAGTTTCTGATTTTATGTAGACCAGAAAAAAAAAATAAGTGAATTACATACAACTGCATTGTGATTAAAAATATATATCTTAAATACCCATTTTAAAAAATATTTATTTTTAAGAAGAGCAAATTTCATGTATTTCATTTATACAGATTTATAAGCATAGTTATACTTCCCACCTTACCCTCCCTTCTGTCCACACTCCCAGCCTCCCTCCTCCTTCCTCTCTTATTCTTTTAATTTTTGCAATGATCTACTTTCAGTTTATTTTATATTCATAAGATTAATTCTACACTAAGAAAAGAATTCAACAAATAGTAAGAAGAAAGAAAACACTGTTCCTCAACAGTAGAGACAAGTGCTAGAAATAGTAATTCTCAAAATGTTAATTTCCCTCAGATACCTTACATTTTTTGTACTATAGGTTACCACAGATCAGGGGAAAATATTGTCTTTTTGAGATTGGCTTATTTCTCTAAATGTAATGTTTTCCAGTTGTATCCATTTTGTTGCAAAAGACAGGATTTCATTCTTTTTTATGGCTGAATAGTATTCCACACTACATGCACCGTAATTTCTTTAGCCACTCATTGGTTGATAGACATCTGGGTTGATTCCGTATCTTAGCTATTGTGAATTGAACTGCAATAATAACTCTTTCATATGCTGATTTCATTTTGTTTCAGTAAATTCCCAGGAGTGGGACTGCATGATCATATGAAAGATCTATTTTCAGATTTCTGAGGTATCTCCAAACCGTCTTCCACAAAGGCTATACCAGTTCACATTCCCACAAACAGTGGATTAGCATACCTTCCCCCCACATCCTCATCAGCATTTACTGCTTATTGATTTCTGTATGAGAGCCATTCTACCTGGGGTGAGTGGTGAGGTGAAACCTCATTGTGGTTTTGATTTGCATTTCCCTGGTGGCCAGTGATCCTGTGCATTTTTTTCATGTGCCTGTTGGCCATTTGAATTATGCCTGCTCAGTCCTTTACCCATTTCTTAAATGGATTGTTTATTTTGTTGTTGTTAAGTTTCTTGAACTTTAAAGATGCTAGGTGTTAATCCTTTATTAGTTGCATAATTTGCAGATATTTTCTCTCATTCTGTCAGTTGCCTCTTCATTTTGCTGAGTGTTTCCTCTGCAGTGCAGAAACTTCTTAGCCTGAAATAATCCCGTTTGTCAATTTTAGCTTTGATTGCCTGTGCTTCTGGGATCTCTTCCAAGAAGTCTTTGCTTATATCTATGTCTTGCAGAGTTTCTTCAATGTTCTCCTCTAGCAATTTTGATAGAATCAAGTTGTAGATTTAGATCTTTGATTCATCTTGAGTTGATTTTTGTGTAAGGTGTAAGGTAGGGATCTTATTTCATACTTCTGTACATGGAGCTCCAATTTCCCAGTACCATTTATTGAAGAGATTGTTCTTTCTCCAAGGATTGATTTTAGCTTCTTTGTCAAAGATTAATTGGTTGTAGATGTGTGGGTGAACCTCTGATGCTACACAATTTCTCTTTTTTATGTTTTGCTTTCTATATTTTATTTATTTTTTAAACTTTTATTTAATAAATATAAATTTCAAAAGTACAACTTTTGGATTTTAGTGGTTTTTTTCCTCCCATAACCTCCCTCCCACCTGCAAACCATCCCATCTTCTAGACCTTCTCCCATCCCATTCTTTATTAAGATTAATTTTTAATTATCTTTGTATACAGAAGATCAACTTAGTATATATGAAGTAAAGATTTCAACAGTTTGCACCCATGCAGACACACAAAGTACAAAGTTCTGTTTGAATACTAGTTTTACCATTAATTCACATAGTACAACACAATAAGGACAGAGATCCTACATGGAGAGTAGGTGCACAGTGACTCCCGTTGTTGATTTAACAATTGACACTCTTATTTATGATGTCAGTAATCACCTAAGGCTCTTGTCATGAGCTGCCAAGGCTATGGAAGCCTCTTGAGTTCACAAACTCTGATCTTATTTAGATAAGGCCATAATCAAAGTGGAAGTTCTCGCCTCCCTTCAGAGAAAGGTACCTTCTTCTTTGATGGCCCATTCTTTCCACTGGGATATCACTCGCAGAGATCTTTCATTTAGGTCAATTTTTTGCCACAGTGTCTTGGCTTTCCACACCTGAAAAACTCTCATGGGCTTTTTTTTTTTTTTTTTCAGAGTTAGAGACAGAGAGACAGAGAGAAAGGTCTTCCTTCCATTAGTTCACCTTCCAAATGGCCACTACAGCCAGAGCTACGCCAATCTGAAGCCAGGAGCCAGGTGCTTTTTCCTGCTCTTCCACATGGGTGCAGGCGCCCATGCACTTGGGCCATCCTCCACTGCCTTCCCAGGCCACAGCAGAGAGCTGGACTGGAAGAGGAGCAACCGGGACTAGAATCCATTTCTATATGGGATGCCACTGCTGCAGGCGGAAGATTAACCAAGTGAGCCACGGTGCCGGCCTCCTCTCATGGGCTTTTTAGCCGGATTCAAATACCTTAAGGGCTGATTCTGAGGCCACAGTGCTGTTTAGGGCATCTGCCATTCTATGAGTCTGCTGTGTATCCTTTCCCGTGTTGGCTCGTTCTCTCCTTTTTAATTCTATCAGTTATTATTAGCAGACACTGGTCTTATTTATGTGTCCCTTTGACATTTAATCCTATCTTTATGATCAATTATGAACTTAAACTGATCACTTTAACTAGTAAGATGGCATTGGTACATGCCAACTTAATGGGATTTGGAGTCCCACACAATTTCTTTTTGAAACTCAGTATTTATCTCGCACCAAACAAAGGAATGATAAATCAATTGTTTTGTCCAAACAACATCAATCAATGTTAATCATTTTTAAAAAAATGAACAAGCATGAAGATTAATGCCAAGTAAATGAACTGTAATGAAGTGTTCACCATTAACTAAATTGTATATATGCCACCATATAGAGACTCTTAAGATTAACGTTACGCCTTCTCTATACCTTCAAATTATGTGACTTGAAAATCCGTAAGACCAAGCCCTGCAAGTACAGAACCCCAAAGAGGCTGAGTCTCAAATATTAGAATCTTTTCACAAAAAGGATAGAATAGAATTATCTATCCTACATAGTCAATGTAAAACACAAACTTTGTTTTGCAACCAAAAAATATTGTTTGAAGTTCTTTTGC